TCAATAGCTCCCCTTCGAATATTCCGACAGTGAGTATGGTGGTGTGATTCTCGGGCTCGCTGTTATTGGGCGTTAGCGTGAACGGACGGACGTTGTGGTAATTTAATGTTCGCCTAATGAGTTCAGGTCCTTTCCTCCACATGTGGTTTTCTAGTTCGTATTTGCCGAGTCCTCTAGTTGCACAGTCTGCCGGATTGTGGTTAGTATCTATGTAGCCAAGTTGAATTGGTGTGGATAGATCTTCCACTATTTATCGTATTTTCTTTGCTCTGTTTTTTATTAGTGTTCCGTGGGAGTTTGTGGGTTTTTGGGATCTTATCCAGCTAAGAGCTGTCTCAGAATCTGAGAAGATTATTATATCTGTGATGATGGTGTGGCTTTTTAGAGCTTCGTAGATAGATTGAGCTAACCACGTTGCCATTGTTAAGGCGTTTAATTTGAGTTTTGGTATAGTAGGGTTATCCTTGCGTGAAGGTAGCCTGGGCTTTCCCATAAGTAGCTGTGATTCATTGTGTGAGACTATGTATGCATAAGTGGCCATACACTGCTTACTTGCGTCTGCGAAAAGAACTAGTTTAATTGGGACACCGATTTGGATGATTTCTCGTGGGATATTGGCTTTAAATCCATTGGTATCTTCTACTATTTTGTTCCGCTGTTGTTGGTGTTTATTTGAAAGTAATGAATCCCATGTGTATTCGTAGTTACATAGGTGTTGGAGGAACAATTTTCCTTTCAGTGTAGGTGGGATAATCCATCCCATGGGATCGTAAATAGAGGCTATTTGCTCGGCTATGGCTCGTTTTGTTAGCTTCGGTTTTTTGGGATATTGACATGAGACAAAGAGTTTGTCTTTTTGAGAATTCCACTTTATTCCCAAAATTTTTTGGGTGGTGTTCTTTGACAATTCCTTTTGAGGAATTCGCTCCAGGAGTTGTTGATTGTTGGTAACAAATCCGCGGAGATTCATACTCAAATCGCGGAATATTTGCTTCGATTTTCTATGTCTTTATTGCCTCGTGTACTGATGTAGCCGTGAGGATAACGTTGTCCACATATGTGTTGTTGGTGAGATCTTCGAACAACTTTGGGTCATGTAAACAGTTGTTTAAATGATACTTGATTGTCCTTGCTAAGAGAAATGGTGAGCAGTTCACTCCAAAAGTAACGCGTGTAAATCTATAGGTAACCATATTCTGTTGTTCGAAGAGTTTTGAGATGTCGCGCAACCAAAGTAATCGTGTGGCATCTCTATTTTGTTCGTGCAGTCGTATTTGTAGTAAGGCTTTTTCGACATCGCTAGTATATGCGATGTTGCCAAAGCGGAATCAAAGCAAAATGTCGCGTATTTGAGGCAGGAAATTGGGTCCTTGGTGAAGTACTTCGTTTAATGATGGAGCCTCTTTTGTGTGGGCCGATCCGTCGTAAACAATTCTTATTTTCGTTGTTTCTTTGTGCGGCGTGAGCCCGGCGTGATGTGGAAGATAGCGTATGACTGAACCGCCCGATGGTTTAGATTCGTCAACTTCTTCCATGATGTTTTGATGTAATTCACTTGCAATTGTTTCATGGTACTCTTGCAGCATCTTGGGATCTTATTTAAATTTTGTGATTATTGCTTGTGATCGTTTTACTGCCATGGCTTTATTGTCTGGTAGCGTTGTTACATCGTTCTTCCACGGAAGACGTACATAGTATCCGTCTTCTCTTTTTCTATCGCTTCTTGAAATTGTTTCCAGATTGCCGTATTCTGTTGCTATAGCTCTTATGGATCCCATAAATTCGTTATCAGCGGGTGACTCGAATGCCCAAGGATTTTCTTCCGATTCGGTTATCTCATAGAAGGTTTGTGTGGTATTGGCTGCGGGAACTATATCAGTGTCCGGTTCATTTTGTTGCTTGTATGTGCCTCCTGTTATAAGGTAGCCGAGCCTCGATGGGATTAGTGTCAATCCCGACGGCAATGTATTATTCAGGGGTATTCCTTTATCTAATACTTTTGTCACATCTCGACTACCGAGCAGGATTTTAGGATGAATGGTGCTGTAGGTCGGATCTATTAAAAGAGGAATGTTTTTTCGATGGAGAAATTGCCGATCTTCCACACTTAGGGTGCAGCGCTTTAATGGCTATGTGATCGTGTCAGTTCTAGTCACCACTATTTCATGTTCTGCTTCGTGAGTATCTCGCAATATTATGGAGGTGATTCCGTATTTCTTTATATCTGCTTTGGAATCTCCAAACTTGTGAATTGCTAACTCGGTTGAGTACGCATCTTTTAATTGCAAGGTCTTGGCCAAATCATTAGTAATAAATGATCGATCGGCTGCTATGTCTAGTAGCACTTCTACTAGCTCCTTTTTGGTCTTGTCTGGGTTGAGTACTGTTGCCTGTGCCGCCCAAATTTGCACTCTGGATTCATATTGCTTTATAGTATGAAGAGCAATGGAATGTTTGCCTTGTGTCTCATTCGAAGTCACTGTGTTGACCGTGGGCGGGATTGTTCTTCTCCCTTTTGCTAGGTTGTGCGATTTTGGTTTTGCTCTTGGACTTTTTTCTTCTTTCAGCGGTTTAGGTTCACTTGGTAGGTGTTGGTATTTATAAATGGAAGTATGGTGTCCGTGCTTGTTACAATTTCGGCACGGGCCTTCTTTGCACTCGGGCAAGCGGTGATCTGAGGAACCGCAATTGTTGCAAAGGTTACGATCTTGTATCACTTTTACTCTTTCTAGTTGAGTTTTTATCGTGGTACAGTCGATTGGTCGGTGTCCTATGTATTGTTACAATAGAAACATGATTGCGGTTTTTTTATCAGTGTTCGCTGATGACTCGTGGTTACTAGTGAGCTTTTAATCGACGTATTGTTGCAGCGGCTTCTTGGAACTGGAAACTTGCCTAGATGGCTTTCTATTGTCAATTCTTTGGCTATGTAGTCTTTGATTACTTGGAAGAGTTTCTCTGTTTTGGGTGTTCCGTTGATTCGGTGTTGTCGTGATTCTCGTAGAGTGTGTCGCTGGATTTCTTCCGCAAACTTTTTCAGTTGTTGCCGGAGATACATGTTATGGACTTGCTCTCCTTTATGACGTAGTTGGCAGACTATCGAGTGGGGGGTTTCGCACAATATTTTTTGGTCTTCTAGTCGCCCGCTATTTGCTTGTGCTTTGTGTAATCTGGCTAATAATTGATCTATTAGGGTTTGCTTGTTGCCATACTTGGCCTTAAGATGATCTATGACTACGGGATAGGATTCTCGTGAAATTTCATATTGCTTGATGAAAGTTCTAGCCTTCCCATAAAGAGAGTTTAATAGATAGTTCATTTTGAAACGGTCATCCATCTGCGTTGAATAGACGGAGTGCTCGAATGCTCCCCAAAATGCTTCCCATTTCCATATATCACCGCTGAATTAGGGGATAGGGATGGGCGGTAAATTTGTTACCGGTGGAGCGGTATGTGAGTCATTTTGAACGTTGTTTTTTGTGCTGTCTAGTTTATTCTCCTCAGCTCGAGAAGCTTGGAAAGGTAGTCTTCTGCCTTATAGATGTGTTCCAGTGTCCTAATGACGTTTAATTTTACACCCTCCTTTAGTTCCTCTGGTATTGGAGTTTGCAGCACGAACTTGTCTGCCGCTTTAGTGTATTTGTCCAGTGCTCCCTCCAGACCGTCTCGGTCCTTTGTAATGCCCGATGTCGCTTGTTTTATAGCATCTTCCCGTGCAACGAGATATTCCGTTCGTCGAGGATCGTTAGGAGGAATGTCTACTGGAGAGTTTACCTCCTGGTCGCATTTATTAAATGAGGATTTGAGGCGGTTAACGGCCTTTATTAGTGCCCCCAGGTGAGAAGAGAGGGTGTTCGATATTTTTTTCCTTTTTTAGTTTTTATGTGACAAATAAACGTACTTGCACGTTGGCTTCTCTTTGCGAAGTTGTCCGAGATGTTGCTTGGGTCCTTGAGCGATGCTTGGTCGCTTGAAGTAGAGATAGCAGATACAGTGAAATATTAGAATAGGAGAATATTAGGTGGAATGTCCAATAGAATGGCCTAGTGATGGCGTTGAGCGTTGTGTTGAGTTGAGTGCGGAGCTGCGCTGACCGTAGAATTCGAGTCGAATAAGCCAATGCACCAGTATGCGTCAGTTGGCCAGTGAATTAGGGAGTAGGTCGGATTGGTCTTTTGTCCGCCAACTGTAAGTGGAATGCTCGACTTTGTATGAAGTCGCCACGCCGGACTTTTCTCCGTAACTGTCTTAAAAAACTTCTTGTTTGGATGTAACAGTTTATAGCAACAATAACGATACAATAATAATGTGTGATATTAGACGATATGTAAGCTGGGTAGATAAGAACGGGATTGAAATGGGAAGAAGTGATACACTCTTTAAGGATGCAAGGCGGACACTGGAGTTGGAGCACTAAGGAATTGAGGGACCGGAAGAAGACCGGACGAACGCGGCTAACACTTCAGGACGAGTCCTATGGGCTGCCTGTATTAGTTCGGTAGCGGGTGGAGCCTTGCCAGAAAGAACTAAAGACAGTGCCCAGAGAGAGGTTCTAAAAAATTTTCTACTAGAACAATTTCATAGAGCTACATGTGGAAGGGTGCATGTGTTTGTTCGGAGACTTTTTGGGACGACAGATGCAGAAAAGAACATTCAGCTGACTGCTCCTGATCACCCTTCTAGCCACCCACGAGGCAATTGCATTAAATGCGTGCTAATAGAAGATTTGCAGAATATGCAAGAATAGATGTATGACGATTACAGATAGACAGGTGTTGTAGAAGACATAAGATAACATAGAAATAGGAACTATTTAAGAACAGTTACTACACCCCCGAAGAGACCGGTGCACTAAACCAGCGCATTGGAGCACTAGGCCATCTCGCCGTACTGCTCTGCTTTGCCCATCCGACAAGTATCTACTTGCGTATCGAAAGGTTTTTGAGGAAAACAGGTAAGCAAATACTCTTAAGCGCATACAAATAGAACCTTTCCGCAACTCAGCAAAATTGCTGAGGAGAGTGGGATTCGATACAACGTTCCGAAGGAACTGGTGCTTCGCCCGACTGCTCAATCATCTCGCTGTACTGCTCTGTTTTCCCCATCCGAAAAAATCTACTCGTGTATGGGGAGCTCTTTGAGGAGAACAGGTCAACATGTTCTCCTAAGCGTCCACAAATGGGACCCTTCCGCAACTCAATAAAATTGCTGAAGAGAGTGGGATTCGATACCATATCTCGAAGGGAATGGTGGCTTGAACCGACTGCTCGGTTTTGCCTATACGACATTATTCTACTCATGTGTGGAGAGGTTTTTGGAGACAACAGATCACCATGTCCACCTGAGCGTCTACAAATGGAATCATTCCGCAACTGAGCAAAATTGCTAATGAGAATGGGATTCGAACCAATGCCTCGAAAAGCGAAGAGCGGTAAACCTACTACTCGACCATCTCGCCGAACACCTCTGTTTCGTTCTTTCGACAAATATCTACTCGCGCATGGAGAGGCCTTCAAAGACAACAGGCCACCATATCCATCTGAGCGTCTAGAAATGGAATCATTCCGCAACTGAGCAAAATTGCTAATGAGAATGAGATTCGAACACATGCCTTGAAGAACGAGGTGAGGTAAACCAACTACTCGACCATCACGCCAAACTCCTCCGTTTCGTTCCTTCGACAAATATCTACTCGCGCATGGAGAGGCCTTCAAAGACAACAGGCCACCATATCCATCTGAGCGTCCAGAAATGGAATCATTCCGCAACTGTGCAAAATTGCTAATGAGAATGGGATTCGAACACATGCCTCGAAAAGCGAAGAGCGGCAAACCAACTACTCGACCATCTCGCCAAACTCCTCTGTTCCGTTTTTTCGACAATTATCTACTGTATGGAGAGGTCTTTGAAGAGAACAGATCACCATGTCCACGTGAGCGTCTAGAAATGGAATCATTCCGCAACTGAGCAAAATTGCTAGTGAGAATGGGATTCGAACCCATTCCTCGAAGAGCGAGGTGCGGTAAGCCAACTACTCGACCATCTCGCCAAACTCCTCCGTTTCGTTCTTTCGACAAATATCTACTCGCGCATGGAGAGGCCTTCAAAGACAACAGGCCACCATATCCATCAGAGCGTCCAGAAATGGAATCATTCCGCAACTGAGCAAAATTGCTAGTGAGAATGGGATTCGAACCCATTCCTCGAAGAGCGAGGTGCGGTAAGCCAACTACTCGACCATCTCGCCAAACTCCTCCGTTTCGTTCTTTCGACAAATATCTACTCGCGCATGGAGAGGCCTTCAAAGACAACAGGCCACCATATCCATCTGAGCGTCCAGAAATGGAATCATTCCGCAACTGAGCAAAATTGCTAATGAGAATGGGATCCGAACACATGCCTCGAAAAGCGAGGTGAGGTAAACCAACTACTCGACCATCTCGCCAAACTCCTCTGTTCCGTTTTTTCGACAATTATCTACTGTATGGAGAGGTCTTTGAAGAGAACAGATCACCATATCCACCTGAGCGTCTGCAAATGGAATCATTCCTTAACTCAGCAAAATTGCTGACAAGAGTGAGATTTGAACCCATTCCTCGAAGAGCGAGGTGCGGTAAGCCAACTACTCGACCATCTCGCCAAACTTCTCTGTATCGTTCTTTCGACAAATATCTACTCCTTTATGCAGAGGACAGAACGTCAGCATATCCTTCTGAGCTTCTACAAATGAAATCATGCCGCAACTCAGCAAAACCCCTAACTATAAAATGATTTTAACCCACCACTCCGTCATCTAGCCGAACTCTCCGTTTTGCCCAACCGACCGAAAGGTGCTCATGTATAGAGAAGTCTATGAAGATAACATTTCAAGTTGT